GTAGTTGTGCGAGTGGTCCCCAAGCCTGATGAATTGTTTCTAGAGACTATCATCACGAGGTGCTCGCTCCCTGTTCCGGTCTGAAGTCCTCCCCCCCGCCCCAAGGGGTGCGTGTGTCGTTCCGGAGCCTTGCGGGTGGTGTATTGTCCTCTTGGCATTGCTGCATGTTGGCGTTATTCTTAGCGAGGCGAATACCTTACCTTCGTGCTATCGTGTTGTGTCGACGCGTGTCCCGGATAAAAATAGGAAAGGAGGCCAAAGAGTGGATGTGGCCTGTTGTCCTTTGTTGTTTATTTTCATTTCTTGGTGGCGCTGGTGCTTCTGCTTCTGCTTCTGCTGCTGCTGCTGCTGCTGCTTCTGCTGCTGTGCGGGGTGACTTGATGGTTTTACCCTCTGCAGCCCCCCCTCGAACGGTGTGAGGGGTGTGGTGGCCGTCCTTGTTCCTGTTGTACGTCTGACTCCCCCCGTTGTTCTCTCCCGCGTAACTGCCGCCCTCCGAGTTGCTGTCTTTGACTGCATGCTTTGTTTGATGTTTGTGGCGTTCGCACCTTGTCCAGCCTTTTTCTGCGTGTGTGTTTTCCTTGTGTGGGTGTGGTGCCGATTTCCCTCAGGCCCGCCGGGCGCGTGTGCGTGTACGTGCACTCGGACGTTGACCAGTGACAAGAATTTGCTCCGATGGGCGACGTGCTTCCGCGTGGTGCACTATTAACTGTGCCAAACGAACGCCCTGCTGGTGGTGTCTTTGTTGCCCGTGGTGGCGCGTGTTTTTGTCGTGTGTCTCTGTCTCCGGACGCTACCGAGACCGCCTTACTTAATGTAGCTGTTGTGAGAAGGAATTGTTATTTTGTTTGGTGTTCGGTAAACGAGGTGTGATGCACCAAGGTTTCCACCTTTGTTCTTGGGAAGCGGTTCGGAATAAATCCGTCACCTTGTATACTACTTTTTCGCCCACACAACACACAACACACAAACGGCCAACCTCTGGGTTTCACCAACGGGGGGGGCTGTGCCGAACGTGTGTGTAGCGCGTAGTGAGCGGTGGTTTCTGCGAGATGTATCATGGGTATAATGTTGGGAACCTTCTCCTCTGCCTAGCGTTTGTTCCGCGTTGTTTGGTGAAATGTAACGGGTGGAGCACTAGAGAAGAAGCGGCGGGATGGCAGCAGGCTACGCACCACGTGATGGCGGTTGCGCTGGCCGTTTGATTGATGCACAGCCCTTGTTATCTGGGGTGCAAGCATACGGAGTAGTATGTGATGACGATTCCCCGCGACTCGCCACTTGTGTCTCGCGTTTGTGCAAAGTAGAGAGCGTGGAGGACGAACGAACCCAACCAAGTGCTGGTGTAGGAGATACAGCAGGGGAGGGGTGACGACGGGGTGGTCACTTCCGCGCTTCCTTGCAAGCCCGAAGCTAAAACCAAGGCGTATTATACTCTGTGTTGCTCTACCATAGGCAGATGATGAATCCTGGGTGTTTCTGTACCGCCTTCTTTCTGTATCCGGCTTGTTGTTGCCGTGGATTGTCTGAAAGTAGCAGCTATCGTTCGGGGGTTGAGCCCAAAAGTGGCAACATCCTGCCGTTCCGTTGGTGTAGTGGGGCATTGCGCCCCCCCCTAGTCCTGTGCCCGAATGGTAGATTGAATACCACAACTAGAAGGACGGGTAGAAGCCTCCCCTCCCCCCCCCTCCCCGCGGGCTTTTGGAAGGTGGCGACCTTCCTGTTAGAGCGTTACTGTTAGAGTTGGAGCGGCGCTTTGGCTTGACACCGGTGACGAATGGTCGGTGGCCACATGAGTTTAGGCGAGCAGTATGAAAGCACGCCCACTTCTCAGCTCCGCCGCGTGAATCTCACCGTTCTCCGCGTGGCTGGCTGTGTTTTGCAGGAGAGCATGCAAAATTGATATCGCTGAGTTGACACTTCCGACAACTCTCAGCAGTGTTTTCAATCCGGGGTGTTTGCAGCTTAGGGTCCACAGAAAGCATAAAGAGGTTTTTGAGCCCTCTCCTTCATGTGTGTTTGATCCCGAGGCGTCTGTTCTTCCAAAATTTGCAAGACAATCTGTCGGGTTTGGTCTTGTAGAAGAAGACCAAAATAGATTACTTAATGTGTGTGACGCCTCCTAGTTCTGTGGACTATAGAGATGAGCGATCAAGAACTGAGCTTGAAATTTCTAGCTGGGTGTTTGTTTGGTGGCTCCTAGGCGGCGGCTTGGGGCGTGGGCGTGAATTGACGCACGTGCGTTCTGATGAAGAATACATGCGGTGCCTGTGTCTCTGACGGTGAGAGAAGCCGGGGCGGGGCTACTTGGCGAGTAGTCACGGGATGGGTCTACCTGGACTCACTCGTTTTTTGTACTTTCACTTTCACCCCTGTCGTCCAAGAAGTGCTGTTGGCAACATCGCGACTGCCCGGTGAAGTTTTGCATGCTTCCAATGGACGCCGGGGACGAGAGTCACCACGCTCGATGACAACGTACGGTGATTTCGTGCATGCAGCAGTAGCATCGTAAGGCTGCCGTGACGACATCTCCCTCTCGTGGCGAACACCGAACCAGGAAAATGGGCGGGGAATTTCCTTGAGTCTTGTTTACTGATGGCACATACAGTACTTCTATGGTTTCGGTGAGCTGTACCTTAGCAGCAACATGTATTATATATAATAGTAGGAACGGGCTTACTGCCTTGAGTATTTCTGAAAAACCTCAATTCCGCTATTTTGACGTACTCTTCGAACACGTTCGTTCCAGAACGGGCCCTTTTTTCGCAGTTTGCTCCGGGTGTTTTTGGTAGGTAGCGGTTAAGTCCAATGGTTTTTAGTTTGTTTGCGGTTCAATCTTCCCGCTTTCAACATCATTCTCGAGAAAATCAAAGGAAATCAATCGTGGAAATACACGTAGCCTTCTCTGACCCTCCCTATGAACTTATTGCTAATCTATATCTTAGATTCCTTTCTTAGATAGAGAGAAGAGATGGATTCTTCGTTGTGTCTTTAGGATGCTAACAAAATGAAAAAATATGACAAGTACAAACATGCCATACAGAGCTGCAGCAGCACCCATATTTCATACGCACCACCATTGCAAACTGCTTGAATTCCATTTGGTATTTCAACAGCAGCAGGGAATTTTCGCGGGAGGAGTGAGTGAGCGCTGCTGTACAGCAGTTTGTTGTTGTTGTTGTCTTCACATCAATAAAAAAACCGTTCCGATCTCCGCTCAGTACCTTGTAATTAATGTCCGTACTGCTCCAACTGACGCGGCACATGGACGCCTTCTTCTTGGTCACAAGCAAGCCAACTGCCCCACCCACCAAAGGGGGGGTATAGTCTATACACCTCCTCTCTCTTTAGAAATAAAGATGGCCATAGAAAATATTCCTCCACGGCGCGATTTGTTTTTTTACCCTGACAGACGAAAAGAAAAAGGAAACCAATAACAGGAAAAAAGACCAATGTAACCGGGATACAGACAACCGACCCCCCGGTCAAAAAGGGATGGGCCACCTATATACAGAGTACAGAACGACTTTATTTCTATATACTGCTGTGTGCGAGCCGAAAACACCGGCACTGTTTTACACCGGACAACATTCGACCGAAACTTTATATCCAGGGCCCACAATACAATTATATATATATATATATACAAGGGTGGCCAACGCACCGGGTTGTAGGGGCACTTTTGGCAACCTGAATCGAGATTTATTTTGGCACGAGTTGCAGCCTCCCCCCCTTGGGTAATCCTCGCAATGCAACGATGGCCAGGTTGTGCAAGGTATACCTTTCATGGAGGTTGCACGTTGTTTTCAAGTTGGATAGGGGGCAGGTTGCCGATGGTAGTGCAAGGTGTAGCCTTGGTGGTTGGTGCACTGCTAACAACAAGCTGGACAGGGGGCGGACTGCCGATGGCGGTGCAAGGTGTAGCCTTTCTTGGTGGTTGGTGCGCTGCTAACAAGCCGGATAGGGGTCAAGATGTCGATGGCGGTGCAAGGTGTACCATTTCTTGTGGTTGGTGCACTGCTTAAAAGCTGGAAAGCAGGCAGGCTGCCGATGACAGCACAAGGTGTACCCTTTCTTGGAGGTTGGCGCCCCATGCTCAAGTCGGGTAGGGGGAGGTTGCCTATTGTATGACAAAGTGTGTACCCTTTTTTGCAGGTTGGCGCGCGTCGCACAAGCCGGTTGGGGGGTAGGTTGCCGGTAATGGTGCAAGGTGTACCCTTTCTTGCAGGTTGACGCGATGCGCACAAGCCGGTGAGGGGGCAGGTTGCCGATGGTATTGCAATGCGTNAAAAGCTGGAAAGCAGGCAGGCTGCCGATGACAGCACAAGGTGTACCCTTTCTTGGAGGTTGGCGCCCCATGCTCAAGTCGGGTAGGGGGAGGTTGCCTATTGTATGACAAAGTGTGTACCCTTTTTTGCAGGTTGGCGCGCGTCGCACAAGCCGGTTGGGGGGTAGGTTGCCGGTAATGGTGCAAGGTGTACCCTTTCTTGCAGGTTGACGCGATGCGCACAAGCCGGTGAGGGGGCAGGTTGCCGATGGTATTGCAATGCGTACCCTCTCTTAGAGATTGTGCACGATGCGCCCGGTCTACTATTAATACAACAAACTGCAGTGCTCAACATTGTGGCGGGTTCAATTCCCCTGCACTGCACCACCTTTTTTTTGTGTTTCATGTTTTTTCTTTTTTTGCCTTCCGGCAATTGCAGATGTACCTCAGAAAACTTTCACTTAATGTCTCATACTCTACACGAATGTTAAACCAATACGAAGTACAACAACATATGTAAGACTTATTTCTTCTGTCACATCGTAAAAATATCTCCTCTTCAACTNTTTTGCCTTCCGACAATTGCAGATGTACCTCAGAAAACTTTCATTTTAATGTGTCATACTCTACATGAATGTTAAACCAATACGAAGTACAACAACATATGTAAGACTTATTTCTTCTGTCACATCGTAAAAATATCTCCTCTTCAACTTGAAATAAAACCAATGACAATCCCCATGGTATCCTATATGCGTTCGTAAGCTTGCTAAAATACTACTGCGTTGATATCCTCTTGTAAAAGCTGAAATCCAACAAATGCTTTGATCCATGCTACATCTCCGTGATGGAAAAGCCCTTTCTTCTCCATTCATGATAACATCTTACCTATTCTAAGCAAATCTGTCACATCTACTCTCAAACAAGACGCCAATTCAAACGAAAACGCGTTCTACGATGCGTCTACACTCCATCCCCATATCATTGGCGTTGACTGGTCCGAGGTCGATCTTGTTCGCCTGTTTTCGGCGTCTTGACGCCCGCGCAATGCGAGCTTGTACCTCTGCACTCGCCGAGATATGGCCACCTGTGTAGCCACCGAAACGACCTGAAGAAGTCGTTCCTTGAAGACTCCTTTCAGAGCCATCGTTCCTCCGTCCCTTCCTCCCACGGCATGTGTCGCAAGTTCATCGATGAACTCGTCACCCTCCTCTCCAAGGCGGCCAAAGCTTTCCACGGCTAAGGTGGTAAGTTTAAAGCTGCGTTCGTCAAAGGACACGTGTCCCGGACGAGCGTAGTGCTGACGCTTTCGCGCCTCGGATGCTTGGGCTGCGATTCCATCGCTGGTCGCGCTGCCGTTCCGCAAGTGTACCTGTGCTTGCGGGTCTGCGTGTGTGACATCGAGGAGTATTCCTTTGTTGCGGTACCCCGGAGAAGATGCGTTCGTGAGGGCTCCTGGCCTGATGACGATGTCCATGCTCAGGTTTCTTTCCCCCGTGAACGGTGCCCCGCTTTCAACGTCGTGTTTGACGCAAAGGCCGTTGAGTGCTCTCGATAGTGCGTATTTTAACGGCTCGTGCATGTTGACCTGTGCTCCATCCCTTCGACAGGTCCTTGCGTGCACCGTTGTGATGATCTCGCCTTCCCTGCCTCTGTGGCACCTGGGACATCTTTCCGCCAAGAATTCTTCAACTCCCAAGGCGCGTCTCGTCGCGTAGACGAATTCGTTCGATGGAATCTCTCGAGCTCGGTCGGTGGGAGCCGCTCTCAGGAACGCGTGCCCCCCTTGCCCTTGCGAGCTTCTCGTTCGTGCGTATGCCATGTTCCTGGCCTCTTGACCTCCGTAGGGGTTGTCCCGCGTGGGTGGTACCGCCTCCTGGGGGAGGTGCTCCAGAGACTCCATGAACTTTTCAAGTTGTATCTTGTTAATCGCCTTGCCCAGTTTGTGCTGGGCTTTCCTCGGCGTAGTAGATTCCCCATCGTGTGCTGCCAGTTCTGCAACGGTGGGCTGACGCCTTCCGGTTTCTCCTGTCGGTTCTAAGGCCCACTCAACCCATGACGGGGGAAGGATCCCCTTCAGAATCTCCACCGATATTCCATGCTCCTGGTTGAGTTCTTTGATAGCGTCCCCCATCCGCTCCACCAACACGGTTCCCGGTATCCGAACTCTCACCGACTCTCCCAATGGACCCCGTAACGCGGCTATAACCGCAGGAAGGGTGCCGACTAGGTTGCCCAGAGAAGCTGAGAACCTTCGCATAACGGCTGCTGGTAATCCTAGTCCTCCGGCTCCTGTCGACAGGCGCGCCTGGGCTTGTTGATAGGGCTTTAACTTGAAGCGGTCAGGCTGGCAGTCGTCTTGGAAGAACTCTTCTTCGACTTCGGTATCTCTGAGCCCCATCGTTGCCTCTAGGACCCACATCACCATATTGTCCAGGCGTTCACAAGCCCCTCTCACCAGCTTATGATTGATGCCTCTCTCGATATATCCAGATCGCTGTGTCAGCGATTGTGATGTGACGAGGTGAGCCACCTGTTTGTCTGGCATGCGCACCAGCATGCGAGCAAGCTTGTCTGCACCCCCTTCAGTTATCACTTTCATTGCGATATCCTCGACGTAGGCATCCGTCCCAATGGGGACTCCCACAACTGTGATGCCCTCCTCCGCAATCGGTAGGCCTGCATCGCCAAGTAGCCTCCTTTCTGCTGGCGTCACGTCGTGCCCTGGTGGGGGAAGCGCTGAGTTCTTCCCCCTGTTGAAGATGATGCCCACTGCTTTTAGTTCGTCGACGAGGTCCGGTATCACCTCAATATTTTCCGCTGTGATATTTTTGAAGTGCAGGCTGATGTTGTCCATATAAGCTTTCAAGCCTACCCCGAGGTGGTCGTACTTGGCTCTAAGCTTCAAGACGATCGGGACTAGGATGAAGCAGAACAGGGGCGGTCCCATTCCATCTCCTTGCTGCACACCGCTCTTGCACTCGATCGTCCGACGCTCTCCGGAGTCCATCGTGTATATCGCCTTTGCCGGGATTTCGTCGTAACACCTGGCGATGTACCCCACGAGATCTGGGACGCTCTTTGCGGCCTGGGCCATTATGGCGGTGCGCTTGCCCGTGTTGAAGGCATTTGAGCAATCCGTCTGGACTACCCAATGACCTGTCTGATGAACCAGTTGTGCGTCCATCGCAACTTGTGAACATCCTCCAGCTAACGCCACTCCGAATTGGTCCGCTTCCCGAAATATTTCTTCCAGTTTCGGTTTCCACTCCCTGACCGTTCCCGCTGCAATCAGCCTTCTCCAAGTCATTCCAATGCACACTGGACGGCACTTTTCACCGAGGGCGATTAGACTGGATTGTTTCCAAAGAGTCCAGAACTCCGGTGGGAACGCGTTGGGATCGTTGACGAGCCTCCTCCAAAGGGACGACATCGCGTTGCTGAACTCTTCCCGGCCAATTTTAGTGTTGACGATGGACTTAAGGTGGGAGAAACGTTGCCCGTCATTTCCTGCTCCAGAGTTAGAGCTTCTGCTGTTGATGACTTGAAGGAGTACTTGTGGATCGAACTCGGTTTCTGGCCTCCATCTCGGGGCGCTTCCTTCCTCCTCCTCGGTGCGGCTTGCAGCTATGGCTTCGGCGATGGCCTGCTCCACTTGTACGGGATCCTCATGCGGAAATTTGGCTTTCAGACGTGCCCATGTCTCGTCGTTCCCCGGTGACGGTTGATCGGCTAGGAGCGCTCTTGCTGCGTCCTTCACGCCTCCAGAGTGCCGGCACGCCCTCGCCGCCCTTTTGAACTTGTCGTCGGGTGTGTCTTCCCGTGCCGGTCCCCTGCTCCTTGCACTCGCCGCCTTGGTATACTCAATCAGCCAAGGAAAAACGGACGATATATCCCCTCTTTTGAGCGACAGCGCTTTTTTTTAGCTATCCGACCATCAAAGGAGTGCAGAATACCTGGTAGGAGGTACCAAAGTTTGATGACCCGGATAGTGGAAAGTGGGGTCCCGGTCGCCGAGGAAGCTCCGCCGCCTTCTGCTAGCTGCTTGTTAACAAGGTGGAGCACGTGAGTTTGGAGACGGGCATGGTCGGAAGCAAACCTAGGTTGAACTTTCTTCACCGTCTGGAACCTGAGTGAGAGATCATCCATGCTGACATCGTCCAAAGCAGGCCCTATTCCCGGACTGTCTTGGTTCCAGATGTACAGCGAACGTGCTCCGTGGGGTTCGTCGTTTAACCCCCTTATCAGTCTTTCAGCTCGTAGCTGCAGCCCCGGGTCAGCTTGAACCGCCGCCTCCAGGCTGTCCCTCCGAGAGTGTTGGTCCCCGCACCCGTGCACCCTACACTCAAGCAGCGCGCGTTCTCCGCGTCCCTCCAAGCTAGTTAGTACGCATCTTGCGTGGATGGGATGCCCGCAAGTGGGTTGCACCACACGGTGTCCCTCGATGACCTCACCCGAGCACACTCCGCATCTGGTACTGGAACGAGGGTGCTCGCTTCTGTTCCCCGTGGCGCCAGGTTCCATGCTTCCTCCAGCGTCCCCGTTCCTGGTCGCTCGGTCATCGGCACCCGGAGTACCCGTTCCTCCCGAGCCCCATCCCCGGTGTGTTCGTGCCGGATTTGATGGCGTTCCCCTTTCTCGCGACTCACCGTCTGGATCCGGTTCACTTCCCTGCCGGCGTCGCCTGTTTCCGCCTTGAGGTGGTTCCGAGGAAGTTCGTTGACGTTCACCCGATGTAGTAGCGTCATCCGATAATCCGCTACCCTCGCGAGCAGATGGTCTGCGCCGCCTTGGCGTTCCTAGTGATTGGCTTCTTTCCCCGGGTCTTACTTGAGGGCTCGTCCGACTGGTGGCGTGTGATGTTGTGGATGGGTTCCTCTGGGACAACAGTCCTTCTTCCTCCTCTGGGCCGCTTCCCATGTCAAAGCCCGGGTCGATGCCAACTCCCGTCACCCTTCGTGGGGTCACGACAGTCGGGGTCACTGTGTTTCTGCTGGTTTCGCCTCCTTGATGGGGTGGGGCATGGTGTTCATCCCAGTCGTCGTGGCGCCGAGGCACCTCCCCTACCCGCGGGAATGGCGGCAGAGGTTGGCCGGGGTTGCGTTGGGCATTCTGTACTGCTACGGTGTAGAATGTAAGATGCGATTCGCACTCCTGGTCCAGGTGCACCAGGTATTCCTGTACGTGTGGCGCAATGTAGATTCTGCCCCGGGGGAGCCGCAATAGCACCTGATACGGCCGTATTCCATGGGCGTAAAATGTAGAGCGGTATCTCTGGACCAACCGGTCCCACCCGTTGTCCTCGTTGCGGCCCCGAGGGAAGTATATGTAAACGCTTCTGTCCATCCCGAATACGTCGCAGAACAGAGTGACCAGGAGCCAGGAAGCCGTCTCACTTCTCCCGTGGGCCCGCACCACACTCTCGAAGGAGTCGAAATGCCCCGCCGGGTCCGCGCCGGATTCGGACATAGACCATGTCTCGAAATGTCCCTCTATCTCGGATGCGAAAGCCACTTCCTCCCTCAGGAAGCCCCACCGTCCCCCGGCGTGCGGCAGTTCGTAGTTCTGGACAAGTTCCGCGGGANTCCCTCTATCTCGGATGCGAAAGACACTGCCTCCCTCAGGAAGTCCCACCGTCCCCCGGCGTGCGGCAGTTCGTGGTTCTGGACAAGTTCCGCGGGATGAGGAGGTCGTCGTCCGTTCGATCCTTCCTGCGAGCAGTTGGCACATGGTCGTGGATCCACGCGTCCGTGTGCTATCTGGTCGGCTCTGTCCCACAGGCAGTTGGCGTGCACCGACCCGTGGTGTCCACACGGGATCTGGATAGGCTCGAGTCCCTCGGCCTGTGGTGGTGGCCCAAAGTGGTCTCCACAGTACGAACACGATCCGGTGCTACCGCCTCCGTTCGTGCCGGTGAGTTGGGGCCGTGTGTCGGGGACGGAACGTCGCGTTTCACCTGCTCGATCAAGCTCGCGCAATCTCTCACGAGCTGCTACAACCCTATCCTGCAAGGTTTCCCGCTCCCCATCAGCGAGACTCCATGCCGGGATCGTGATGGCTACTATCTCTAGGAGGCGGGGCCAAAAGACGTCGCGCCTCGAATCGTGCATGGCTGGATTCGGGCACGCCACCATCCTAGAGCTGTCCGACGGCGCGGTAGAGAGCAGGTGGTTCTCCACGAAGGTCATCGCGCACGTAAGATGTACCCTGCATGAGCACGGCGCGGTGACAAGCGGGCGTTGCCAAGCCCCGTTCTGATGGCATACGACGCAGACCCCGTCCGTCGGCCCTCATTTGTTTTTTCGCCCCTTGTATTCGAATCACTACAATTTTACCGTCGGTACATTCCCGAGCAAACCTCTGAAACTACGACATCCCGTGCCCATGCATTATACACATTGCCAGTAGTTCTACCTTAAACGTATCTCCGCCCGTGGCTTATCATCTCTACCCAGGGTCGTCAGCATCTCAAGTTGCACGAAAACATGTAGTCTAGTCTAGTCTAGGCGAGAACCATAAAAGGTACTTCAAATTGCAACAATCTTCAGATTGAAACAATACATACACAGTCTACCCTTCCGAACGTCGTTCTGTGTATTGAAGGTCCCCCCACAACAGCATATGCCCTCGTCCATGACCGTCAGCGACGTCGATCATGGAGACGGCCCACAATCCCCGCAGTAAACAACCTTTATTTGTTGTGAGGAAAAACAACTCAGCCGGAAGAAACAACAACTACACGTAGCGGCAGCAGTGTTGTTGTCCAAACGCACTGGTAGAAATGACCGTCTCTCCTGACACGAAACAAAGAACCCCCCCCCACCCTGGCCGCCCCAAATTCTGCAACTAACTCAAGTCAAGAAAAAACGCCACTGCCTGAAACAGAGTCAGCTGCGACAGCCGTGTCCTCCAAAAACAATGCAGAGACTGCAGCAAAGACCTCTCTACTTTCCTAACACCATCGAAACTCCCCTCCCCCCCAAAAGCCACAATTCGCACGGACAAAAAACGGCGCGGACGAAGCCAAGAGGCAGCAGCGGCAGATTCCAAAGGCCCTGGCACACACAACCCAGTAAGAAAACACCTAGACTAGCTCTCATCCCGCGCCACGTGCCCTCATGCACCAGCGAGAGCAACAAGCATATCTTAGCACCATACGCGTGAGACATGGCAAGCGGGATATTTCTCCGCCCCCTCCGTCAAATGCCAAATGTTGGACCCGTTGTGAACACAACGCCCCTCCCGGTGTTTGCCATCGGGGTTGGGTTTTCGTCGCTTGGCAACGACGTTGTAAAACAAG